CTATCAGCAAGCGACATTATATCAGTGTTACTATTTTTGTCTCAGAGACTTGAAGGCTGAGAATCTTCTATTGAGCTCGGATGGTCAGTGGAAATTATGCGATTTCGGAAGCGTTTCAACAAATCACAAGATATTCGAAAGAGCAGAAGAGATGGGCATTGAAGAAGACAATATTAGGAAACACACAACACCAGCATATAGAGCGCCTGAGGTTTGATTAGATATGCTCTTGTACATATTATAAGAGTTTCTTAAGTGGTTAAAAGATGTTTGATCGATGACTATATTGGCAATAGATGTGGGATCTCTTTCGAAGGGAGATTATAAGCGAGAAGGTCGATATATGGGTATGTCATGTGAAAAGACATTTTCAATTCCTCTCTAGTTTGTTAATCAGTTAGGTCGGTACTGAAGTTTTGGTTTGTAAAATTTTAGGCTCTTGGATGTCTCTTGTTTCGTATATGCTATTTCAAGAGTGCATTTGATGGAGAATCAAAGCTACAAATATTAAACGGGAACTATCGTATACCAGAATCGCCTAAATACAGTTCATCTGTTACGGATCTTATCAAAGACATGCTTCAAGCTTCACCCGATGAACGACCAGATATTACTCAGGTAGATAAGCACTTTGTTCTCATCAATACTCCTCGCTGGATGAAACTTGCAATGTCTTTAACAGCATTTTCGTCTACAGATTTGGTTTCGTGTCAACGAACAGCTTCCTGCTAATTTACAGAAGTCATTACCTGATCGACCACCTGAATTGCAATCTACTGGAGTCCATGATGGTATAGTGTGGAAAATGAGTTTCGATAGCTTCTCAGAGAAAGCTGTGATTTCTTTTGATCTTTGTGAATTTGGCAGGTCCATCAAAATCGACAAATAAATCTTCTCCGGCACCTCGAAGAAGTCCGCCGCCGCCACCACCATCTTCTGGAGAATCAGCTAGTGGAGGACCGCTTGGTGCCTTTTGGGCGACTCAGCACGCTAAAACCTCGGTTGTATCAGAAGACAACAAAAGCATGCCTATATTTGATGAACCGAAAAACCAAAACAGTAACATATCTAAATCCGAAAGAGTCCGTGTGGATAGTAATCATCCCAAAAAGCCTAGTCCAATGAGAGGAGAGACTCGTGGTACGCAAAGAAATATCGAATCTACAGTTTCTCAGAAGGATACGAGTCCTGCTGCGACCAATAACAGGACAAGAGTGTCGAAGGACGACGCTTTTAACTCGTTTGTTGCCGATTTTGATAGCACGAAGCTTGATAATGGTAGTAAGCCTGCAAAAGAAGAAGCATTGGAGGCTGAGATAGAGAGGTTAAAAGAAGAGTTGAAGCAAACAAATTCAGAGAAGGCTGAGATTACGGCTAAGTTTGAAAAGCTTTCTGCCATTTGCAGATTGCAGAGGCAAGAGTTGCAGGATCTCAAGCAAACACTTGTCTCTAAAACTGCGTCATCATCGCCAAGTAGAGACTTCTCACAAAATCAAACCTTGCGTTCCATGTCGACAACTCCATCGGTATTTTTCTTGGTTTCATGTTCATCTAAAGCCTAAACACAGACACAAGATTGCATCAATCTTACATCTTATGATTCTATTGCTCTTGTTGAAACAGAGAGATAGGACTGAAGGAACTATGTGGGATCTTCAACAAGACAAATCTGATTGGTCAAGCGGAAGTTCGGATCCAAATTCATGGCAACCTTTTAGCGACGAACCAAAACCCGTGTCTGCATCAAAGGTTAACAACAATACCATCAATCACTCCGTGAGAAGCAGAAGTAAACCAACTTCTTCAGCTCCTGCTCCATCAAGCCAAGGTTTTGAACCATGGGGTTTCGAAACAGAATCGTTCAAAGCTGCTACACCGTCTTCAGCTTCTGCTTCCGCAACACAAAGATCAGTAAGTTCCGCAAACACTTCACAGAGATTTGGGAACACAAAGATGAGAGATAACCAGAAAGCAGCTCAACCTGCTGGATGGGCTGGCTTCTAA